TAAAAATAAATAAAAATAAAAATAAAAATATTATTTACGAGTGAAGCTTTTTTCCCTTCGAAAATTAAATTTGACAGTTTTTATTTTTTTTTAAAAAAAAAATACTACAGTAAATTTGTTTTTTTTTACAAAAAAAAAAAAGAGAAAAAAAAAACTTGTTTCCTTTGTTCCGTCTGCCGGTTCTGCATACAGCCATCTACTGCCACTGTAAACAAGGGGGGGGGTCCCATTTCGTTTTGGACTCGCATTGATAATGGGACGGTGGTGGGGTCTAGTGAAAATGATGAACCACCATGTTACCTACCCTCTACTTCTTTTTTATTTTACTCCTATGATAACTTTTACCTCAATTCACATTTAAACAATGTTAATAAGATATTTTTCAAAAAATGAATTGCTGGAATACATAAAAGGGAGACGTAATTTGACTTATATAGATATTAAAATTCAATCTTAGTACACTCGATCTAATTAACTCATACTTCCTCGTCTCAAAATTAATTACAATATCTTTGGACTTAACTTTTGTTAATTTTTGTGTGTTTGTTTATTTTTATTCTACTCCCATATTGAGTAAAATGGTAAAACAAAGGAGGAATATTTTTGTGTTGATTTTACAAAAATACACTTGATGTGATGGATAAAAATATGATGTAATGTGTAGATTATTAGGAAAAAGGTATGGTATGAAAAAGTAAAAGGTAAAAATGATTTTTTAATAAAAATGGAAAAGACTTTTGGGGACAGTTTTTTAAAACGAGAAGGACTTTTTGGGACGGAGGGAGTATATTTGATAAAATTAAATATTTTTGTCGAATTTTAAGTTATAGATATTTTGATGTAGTCTTTTAACGCAAAGTGTGTAAATTTTATTAATTATTCTTATACTAATTTTTAAATATATTAATTTTAAAAAAACAAAATTTGGGCTCGTAAACGAGAAATTGTAATCTTATTTGAGATGAGGTGACTAAATACTTATTTTTGAGCATAAATTGAATTTAAAAGAAATGAGTAGGTATCTAATAACTCGAAATTAAAATGAAAATCTAGTCGTACGTACTGCGGATGTACAAGAAATATCGAACAATTACTTGCAGAGTATACATTGCTGATAATTTGTTTTTCGTTTTTTTAGAGAGAATTGTTGCAATCAAAAGGAAAGGATAGAGAGTAGAGTGGGGTTGGTGATACCAACTCAATCAGATTGCAGCAATGGTGAAAAATGACAAAAAAGTCCAATGGATCATTTAACAGATCACTCACACAAGCTGGGTGTACAGTCCATTTCATTATTGAATTTTCAAGTTTTATTCTTCTACTCCTTTTGACAGCAGAGACTAAGCATCTTCATCTTCCATGTTTGGCACGTAAACTTACTTTTTGGAGAAGAAGAATTTTTTTTTAAATATTAATGTCACATCTGTGGAATTAAACAAACAGAACTCATCACCATTTATTTTTCCAAAAAAAGATAATGCTTTTTTATTTGCAAGAATTTGTTCCCATTCTTTTTTTGGGGGGATGGAAGCTCATCTCATCTATCTCACCCCATTAAAATTTGAAAATATTTTCTGGACTACAATTACAAGTTTGAACTTTTGGCTGAGTTAAATACAAACTTGAGCTTATGGATAGTTTGTTTCTTGCGTAATTTACTTAAATAAGACTAAAACATAATGATTTTCTCAATATAGGATCATATGTTTTTATTTCCCAATGTAGGACCATGAGTCATTATCTATTAGTCATTATTCAATTAAATGTCTAGTATCACTTAGACATTATTCTTCTCACTAGACATTATTAAATCCTATTTAGAAAATAAAAAAAGTTTAAATTTTACATTGGAAAATTACTTATGTTTTAGTTCTATTCACTGCAAATTTCACTTGTTTCTTTCAAGCATTGCTGATCTAAAGGTCAAATATTTTAACTTCGTTTTTGGTTATTTCACAAAATACATGTGTTATGCAAAAACTTGAGTTTTTGGTTCTTTGACAAAAAAAAATGTTATTTTATTGGCGATCATTGTTCACTATCTAGACTTTCACTTTGATACATAAGCTTAGAGTTGAATAAAAAGATACTATAGGGAGCAGTAAGATATATGAGAACAAAATGTAGATGACCAAAAGATTTTCCTCACTAGTTGGAAAGATTGGTGAAGAAGAAGAAGGATGATTTGGGAATTATATATATTGGGATAATAATATAATGAATGAATGAATGGAGATAGCTTAGGTCGTAGCACTAGAGCATCTAATGAATGATGTGATGGATGCATGCATGCCATCTTTTTCCAAGCCAATGTGATGAGCAGTACGTAATATATTGGACTATGAACAGCTTGGAATATACACATGTCAATTTACATCTAGATATATACGTGTGCTGTGTTTTCTGTACATTTGATTGAATATTCATTTACATGTAATAGAATATATATATATATATATATATATATATATATATATATATATATATATATATATATATATATATATACACACACACACACATATACTCGTTCTGTAATTTTCTTTATTTTATTGTGTATCTGTTATATATTCATTTTAGGCTACATAATGTGGTATTCACCATGCATCTTCACTTTCAATTCACTGTCATATCAGTTTTTTATATTTCATCCTCATTCAGGGTGTGGATCGCTCTCCATTCCATTTCTTTTTTTTTTACGTTATACTCCCTCCGTCCTAAATTGTTCATTTCATTTCTATTTACGAGATTTGACTGACTTTATTTTCAATTCAATTTGTTTAATTGTAGGTATTAAATTAAAATTAAAATTCACATATTTAAAAACTACATTAAGAGTTCTACAAAATAAGAAGTGACATGACAGTATAATTTTATCAAATAACTAACGAAAATAGGTAAATAAAGCGATTAAAGTTTGACCGTGTGAATAATAGAACTGGACAGGACGTTTTAGGACGGAAGAAGTAGTATTTTAGTTAATTCTTAAAATTAAAATAAAACCAAATTAGAAACTGAAAAACAAAAAACCTGAAGTTAGAAACTAAAAATAAAAAAATTAAATTGAAAAAAGATATATTGTCAACAATTCACATGTTTCCTCTAAACAAATTTAATCACTTACTCCCTCCGTCCCATAAAACATTTCCTGTTTAAAAAATGGCACGCCTTTAAAATGAGTAATTTTGGTGTTATTTTTTAATTTTGCCCTTACTTCTTAAAAGATCAGTAGGATGAGATGTGTAGAATAGATTAGTCATAATTAAAAAATAACACTAAAATTACTCATTTTAAAGGCGTGCCATTTTTGAAACAGAAAATGTTTTATGGGACGGAAGAAGTATTTAAAAAAAACATTTCTTAAATTACGTGAAATTAAATCGCCTTGATCAAATGAGGACGAAGGATGTATTAAAAAAATAAAAGGCGTGTAGTTGAAGACAGATTCTTTAGTAGACCTAACCTAAAATCCATCTAAGCGTTCGGGTACTTTTTTAAATTTTAAGATAAATGTTTATTTCGTTTGATTTTTTTATTAGTTTATTATGAAAATGGACTTAAAGTTCATTGTAAAAGCACTCGTGGTTAAAATTTGTTAGGATGAATGAGTTATTAAGAGCCACAAATCTCATTTTGAAAAAGAAAGTTGATAATTAAGCATGAATCTCTCAAAAGACAAAAAAAAAGAATGTGAAATTAATTTGGGTGCAAAGAAGATATTCCTCCCTCCCCAAACTAAACCACTCTTTATTTTAACATCAATTCCAAATAAAGTTCATTCTTCAATTCTTAACTTTCTTTTTTAAAGAAAAAGAATTGTTACTTAAAAAATATTTTTCTCCCAAACAAACTCCTACCACGTACATAGCACGTAGTATTTTTAATTAACTTTGAATTGGTCATTATGACTACAATCATGAATATAGACTTACGTCCCGTTTGACATCAACATTAGAGTTTAGCGTTAGTGTTTTGAAAAGGGTATCTGGCGGTAGCCTTTAGCGTTAACATTTTCGTAAATAATCTATAGCATTAAAATTTTATCCAAAACGTTGACACTAATCGAAAACATTGTTCCCAAACAAGACCTTAAAATATGGTTGAAAATGACAATAAGCAATTCAGTGACAAAAAGGAGCAAGCATAAACAAGCAAATAGTACTCCCTCCGTCCCATTTTATAACGCTTGTTTCGGTTTACGATGTTTGACTGAAATTATTTTCAAATCATTTTATATAACAAATGGTATAGAATTAAAAAATAAAAATTATATATTAAAATACTACATCAAAAGGTCTAGAAAACTAGTAGTGACAATAGTACTTTATTTTATCAAATTGCTAACAAAAATAGATAAAGAAAGTGAATGAAGTTTAACCCGGTGAATAGTAAACATGCATTATAATTTGGGACGGGGAGTACTTAGCTTATCACTTGTACATTCTGATGGGCCAAGAAGTTCAAAATATAAATCCATGTGAACTTATAGCCCATAAATCTTAGCAGGCTCAATTGCATGCATACCTTTTCCATTGGCCTGTGATTCAATCCAGAACAAAAGCCAGTTAACAAGAGGCTCTCTATTATGGGTAATGTTACTCCTGCCCAAAAGAATAGATTAGAGCTTTTTTATTACTCCTTGACCCGAGTTAACATACACTACGTCCGTCCCGAAATTATCTTCGCAAACTCTAATCACACGATCAAACTGTATTCACTTTCTTTTCACTACTCATTTCATAAAATAATATATTCATGTTACCTCTTATTTTTAGAAATATTATTATAGTTTTTTAATTTAAATATATAAACTTTATTTTTAAATTTTACACTTTCCAACGATTAAATAAATTAAATTAAAAATAAAATCAATTAAGCCCGGTAATGCATAATAACGTGAATATTTCCAAAGAGAGAGTACTAGTGTTACTTCTATAGAAAAAACGAAGAGGTTGCCTTCCTAAGATAACTGTGAGTCTGTGATGCATTACTCTATTAACTATCCAAAACTTGCTTCATTGAATATACGTAGTGTTATTCTATTTACTATCTCCGATCAAATAAAAAACATGAAGCTAAAAAAATTTAACGTCTAATGGAAACTTGGTCCACCAGCCCAAATTAACAAGTTAGTTTGATCAGGCTTAAAGTATTTGAATAGCCATACAATGTTTGGTTTGCCAATGTCATAATGGGGAATAATATTACAAATTAAACAATGAAATGCTTCACACTCTACAGCAAAGTAAAATTTACTGCAACAATGGGTTTTTTTAACTTGTCCAAATGCTGAGAAGAAAAGAATAATTACTAAAAAAACCGTATGTTGTAGCGCAATCAATAATAACTTTCAAAAACATCATTGTGGAAATTCGGCAGAGGACATTTGATCAGCTGGCAGCACTTGAATCGCGCCATATCCTTCGGGCAACGTAAACATGGCAGCTGCTTCAGACAAGCCTTTGAATGAGAGAGCTAATGAGTAACCTAAAACTTTGGCAACTGGCACAGCAACTGCATTTCCCACTTGTGTGTACCTATATACATATAATACTCCATTAGTTAGGCATAAAGGAGGGTGAAATGACTAAAAACTCCACAATTGCAACTGGGGAGTTTGTTTATTGAGTGTTTAAGAGGGATTTTACTTGTCTTTGATGGAGCCACAAAGCTTGTAGTAATCAGGAAAGCCCTGTAACCGCGCGTTTTCTCTGACTGTGAGAACTCGGTCTTGGACAGGGTGACAAATTGCCTGGCATGGCAGGGAGATTAACAATTTGGTTAAAAGAAATGCTCAACCAATGCAAAACTGTAACTTTTTATGCTTTAACCATGCCACTTGACATAACCATTTAACTCCCCTATTAATCTAACCTGATTGTGAGGCTCAGCCCTGGTGACAACGGTTGGGACAGTTTCGTCCCACCATAATCTTTTGAATGGCCTGCGTTTGGATAACATTAAAACATTGATTATCTCAGAAACCTAGCTTTTATTTAACAATGTGACGAATGGTAGACGCTGCATACTTGGTCGAAGTCCCTCTCACAAAAGAGATAGCATAGTTAGGTACCTGCAAGTTATAAGGTGCTTAAATCACTATCCAAAAATCAAATTAAAAAAAATAAAAAAAAATAAAAAAAAAATCAACGAAAATGGACTTAGTATGGCAGCATGCTCAGGTAACAGCATAATCGACACCCAAAAATGATGTGATCACCATTGCTCAGTTCATTAAACAAACCACAAATCATACCAATGGCTTCCCAGAAGGCAAATACACTCTTTCGACATCTGGATCCAACTCAACCTTATTGCCAACCACACGAACACCAGGTAAATCTCTGAAATTTGCGCCCTAATATAATATATATACAGATGACAATGGAAATAATAGTTCAGCACACATTGACAGACTTTTGTTGCAACTACAAACATGGAACTTCAAATGATTGTATATACCTTCCTCTTTGGAACATGGCATACGCGTTGATAATCGTCTTCATTCAATTGTAATGGACAATGATCATACAAAACTTGTCCAAGCACACCTACATGATAGAAGTAAGGCCATGAACACATGAAAAAAAACATAACTTTGGCAGCTTTGCATGCCAAGAAAAAGAGAGAAGTCATGAATTTAGCTTGCTCGGTAAGATGAGGAATTGAAGCTGAGATAAATGAAAATGGAAAGGCATATGCTTTTATTCCTCCAATAAAAAAAGAAAGGAAGCTAAATAAGCAAACAATGAAGTAAGAACTAACCATCTCGCCCAAGTCTTATATACCGCTGAAAATGAGTTTTTGGCTCATCAACATAATGCATCTCTTCTCTAACCTCAGTATTCTCAACCTACAAAACATCATCAAGAATAAGTTCTAACTATGACTGGAAAAATAGTGCTCAAAATAAAGTTGAGTATAAAATTTTATGAAAAGGCATTTTGCTAAATGAAATTCAAGAGACAAATTGTTCACCTTAGGAAGATCGGAAATTGCATCTTCAAGAAAGAGCGCGTCCTTTAGGTTGACTTCATGGTTTTCATAATCAACATTGTTGCACTGAACCAGACAAAGATCATATACATATTAGATAGCCAGCAAAACATGCATAGTCACATGCATACATATAGCTTCACAAAACCTTCCACCTCAAACTCTTTGGGAATGACGCCTCTACTATCAACTTTGTGGGTTGGAAAAGGAAATTGGGGCAGCTTCTGCAAAACGAACGCAATTCATCAGTTGTAGGGGTGTTGATAATCCAACAGGCCCAGAAAAACAAGAAGCAAGTAACATAAATATATTATTTTATCAAATGATAAATGAAAATAGAAACAGAATAATGATAGAATTGACAATGTGATGAGTAATTGTGAAATTTTTTAAGATGGATGGCATAACTTTTTAATAGAATACTTAGGGAAAAGTTCCTGCATCTACACAATCACATCAAGAAAATAGTGATTTTACACGAGATTTCAAGTCATTAGTTCTTTGAAGAAAAGCAGCCACTCTATATAATCCGGATGATTAAGTATTTTGAGTATGACAATTTTCATAAGTTCATTCTCTCTTGCTCCATTTTATTGTGTATAATTTGAATGGACACAAAATATTATAAAACGGAAAAGCATTGAGTTGAAATTCATGCAAAGGAGAAAAAAGTATGAACCATGTAACACTTTCTGCATTTAAAAATAGGTTTGAGGAATTGGGACAAGCCAAGAGTGAAAATAAAGGGCATGATATGTTGAAATCGATGGAATAGACTTTAAAAAAACATCACAAGCACATTTTAAGAAGAGTAAAGATTCTTTTGATTCAATTTTAAAAAGAACCATAACTGAAACCCCATATGGTTCTCTCATTAAATTAAATTTGATACATTTTTCTTAGAAATTTGTCTTTTTCAGGAGAGTACAATTTAATTGATTTTATTACCTCTTCTTGAAGGGCGCCCCACAAAAAGACACGCATGCGAAATTGTGGGAGGCCATACGCTCCAGCCGCAAGCATACCCATCCGTGCCTGATAATTCATCCCTACAAGCCGGCTTAAAGCATATCTCCCAAGAAACCCACTTGAAAATTTTAAAAGATCAACAACATTCTCCATCAAAACAAACTTTGGCCTTAAAAAATCAACCAAATCCATGAAAGTTTTCATTTGCTCATTTTTAGGATCCTCCAAAGGATTCTTAAAGTTCCGAAATCGATTGAAGCCACTTATTCCTTGACAAGGTGGACCGCCGCAAATAACATCAACATGTCCCTGAATTAACAAAGCACGTAACAAATGTTAATCCACACAGTGCATATTTTGGTATTACCAAGTCAAAGGCTTAGTTGGAACTTACTGGTAGAGGCAGTCTTTTTTCTTTAAAGCCATTGACAACAAATTCTTTGATCTTTTGAGGGCAACCACTTTAAAAGAGAGCATAAATTTAATTATATCAATAATTAAAATATACCAGTATAGAGTAATAATGATACTCAAAAGTCCTCAAACATACCTTAATCCCTCGATTGGTTCCCATGTGTCATAATCATCATCATACCCCTTCCAATGTATCTATTAAAGAATGTAGAAACATAAAAATAAAACCCTGCAATGAAGATCATTCAAAATGGATGGTAATATTCAAAAACTTTAATTTCATACCTTAAAATATAGGCCAGACTTTCTACCACCATTAGGCTTTCTGTAACAAATATCCAAAATATGGTCAACCTCGTACACTTCACCTTCACCTCCATCATCATCATCATCATTGCTCTCTTCTTCTTCCTCATCATTTGTTGACGTATCCAAATTAGGGTGAGGGGAGCAGTTGCTTGTTATCAACATACAAGAAGCACAAAGTTGTTGCCATTCTTTTAAAAGGGCCAAAAATGTATCAGCTGACACATTCATCACCTGGGATTTTATCACCATTGAAATTTCATAAAATCTAAACAAATGAACTTGTCAAAAAGTAATCATAAACGAATAACAAGCACGACTTGGAGAGAATATAGCAGGTTACATTTGTCTCTGGGTGGTTTAGTCTTAAGCTATCACATGCGGGTCCATTCATATCAACAGCCCATTTCTGCAATTGGATTATCCATTAAAATAACATTTGGCAATAGGAATCCCATTTAAGAATGGTGTAAAGAAGAGAATTTTCAAAAGCAATTACAACTTACTGTAACCAAATTAACATTGCAACTATTTGCTCCTAAACATAGTCCCGTGGACATTCCGCCACAACCAGAATAAATATCTAAGAGCGTTTTCTCTGAATTAAGCTCTCTAACTTCTGCCCCATCGGACTCGCTAGAGATTGTGGAAGTGGACACATCGGCAGCAGTAAAATCTACATGCGTGTTGCCTTCTCTTTTTTACAATGTAATCAATTTAACATGTAAAAGAAAAGAATAAATGGTTGCTAGTTCTTATGCAAAAAAAATTAGAATACCATGTGGCAGGTTCAGAAATGTGGAGCAAGGAACAAGATACATCATATCACAATAAAAATCAGATTCATGTGGAATAATATCCCTTGAATCAGAATTTCCCTGCAATAAAATCATGGCAATATTAAATCCCTGGGAACACAAATTAAAGATAATTCACTTGGAATAAAATAGCAACATACATTGTATGGTATGCGATGTATGCTGACTTTTTTTACAAGGCAGTCAATGTTATTATCATCCTTGATTTCAGAAAAGAATACACGGCGAGGGTCAACAAACTGATCACATGATGTGATGACCTGGTTAAAGAGCTCACTGATTAAACATTGAGAAAGCTAAAATTTAAGCCAGTTTAAAAGTGACTTTCAAGTACTTACAGTCTCCTTGGCTCTATAATACCATTGTGCTGTAAAATAGCACACACCATCAAGTGCTTCAAACATTTCTACAATTTTACAAATATAGTTATCTTCACCCTCACCAGCCTGAAAGGGTTAAGACACATACGCAATTTATCTTTGATCACATTCCATAAGTCACAATATCAAAAGTAATTCTAAATGAATGGGTAATCTTGTTTACGCAAAAACTAGATTTTAGATAAATCATTAATGGTCAAATCAGGGACATAATCTAGCATTGCATCAAACCAATCTCCTACATCCAAACAAATGGTTGGAAATGGGTCTAAGATAAAGGTTAGATGTCATAAAGAACAAGGCCAACATTCTACTTTACGCTATCCAATAACCATCAATGGCTTCTAACCAGACATCCCCCATCCCATAATTGTCATATATACATTCCCTTATTTCATGTTTAGCTAGCTGTTTAGCCCTCCCCACATCACCATTTTCTGTCCTAGAACTAACCACAATGTCAACCCTCATCTCAAAACCACTTTACCTCACAACAAGTGCAAGAAAGAAAATGAAATCTCTGTTGCTTTGAAATGAGATGTTTAATTTTCAAGACAAATGAATAATAAAAAGACTAAGAGACTATTTTCTTAGCTCAACTCAAAGTCTAGAATCTAATAAAAAGACTTGGTGAATTAGAATAAGCAAATGAAAATCATCAAAAGCAAGTTAAAAGATTACCATCACATAAGCATCGTCCCCTAGATTATAAATCACATCATCAACTTTTGCTGATGTAAAATGTTTCTTAGCCTGAGGTACACTAGCAGGTCCTGCTTGACTGCATCAAACATTTAGTACAAAAAAAAGTACCATGATTAAATATTAATACAAGATATAAAACCCTAAGTCCCAAATTGCTTTATGTATGTGAGGCATGGCATAAACCTACATGCAACTTGAGGCATAAACATCAAGCTTCACATTCATCAGATATTTATAGCTGGAGGTAAAAACCTACAAGGAGTAATTCTATAGTAGATAACAATAACACATTAGGAATAATGAAATACTAAAAAAGCCCCAATGCATATGAGGCTAATACACCTCAATGTGAGGTGTGAACCTCTTTATAGAGCATCTGTGTTAAAGCATGGATGAAATTTTAGTGCCCCCAGAGGAAGCCTTTTAGAGAACTAATCAATGAAAGCATGCAAAACATCATTTATGTAAATGAACTATAAATCCATACACAACAAAACATTAATTAGCTATTCTCAAAGAGAAAACTTACGTGGTTGTGCTCTTACTTCCCCAATCTGCTCTCCCCATAGCCTGTTTCCATGACATCCAAACAATAAATATAAGTACAATCAAGCAAAGAAATAAATTACACATTACAAACTTAAAATGTATCTAAAAGAACAAATCAAGAATGACAGTTTGTTGTTGTGCACTACTTGCCAGTCACAGCAGAAGTAACATGCTTGCGATATTCAGGGAGTTGATGAATTGAAAAATCACAAAAGTGTGAAGTTGTCTGTTCATACAACTACAAAAGCTTGCTCCTTTACAAATATAAGGGAAAAAGAAAATTCAAAGCAGCATAATCAATCATTCATAAACTACATATTGGTTTCAAAATAACAAAAGCATTAAGCTAGGTCAGTTCATGACAGCGGTTGGGACAGGCTGTTCATTTTCAAAATTAATAGAAAAACCAAGAATTATTTTACTCCACTCTAATAATTGATATCAGGACCCATCGGCGAAGAAGAACACCCGGACCTTTTGAAAACGGTGAGGCCACTGCCTCTTAGCTTCTTCAACCGGAACCGGATCTCCAACAAACTCACTTTCACCATCTTCAGAAGCCTTAGCAGCCGTCCTTCTTTCGGGCAGTCGAACCAGGTTTTCCCCAGACTCTTCTTGTACCTCCTCCTCGTCTTCAAGCTCAGGATCATAAGCGACAAAGTCGTCAAGCTCGGAGCCCCCGTCAGCCAAATCCACAACCTCTCTCTGCCTTCTCTTCTTCTGCTCCTGTTTGGCCGGAGCAGCACGAGCCGACGCATATCTCTTGCGGCCCATTGCGCGATTCAGGGGTCGGTCCGGGTAGGGTTCTGATACGAAGCGGAAAAGGCGACGGGGAACAAGAGAGAGAGATAAATGCGGGTTCGTGTCTCCCAGTGGGGTACTTGGTTGAATTCTTGAATCCGGAATTTTTGAAATTTCATTTGGGTAGCGGGAATTCGGATGATTTTGATTTTTTTTCGTGAAGTAGATTCAAAATTTCAAATATTCAATTATTGCGTAACATATGTGGCCCAACAACATGGAAGGGTTCCGAAAAAACATATGGGAGAGATTGGGCCGAGCCGGAAGAAGAAGAAATGTACATGGGCCGATTTGAGTTTTCAATATCTCAAATTTGGGTCGTGCTCAGATCATTTCGAGCACAAAATCCTAAGTTTAACTTTTAGACCAAGGGCTTTGGTTTTGGTATCGTCGTTAACATTTTGAATAAAATTTTAATAGTGTAAATTAATTTTGAAAAATACTAACGTCGAAAGCTACCATCAGATATTCTTTTCAAAATACTAACTTCTAACGCCGATGTCAAACAAGGCCAACGAGAAGTTGTAATGTTACATCAGTCCAACTAGTGTAATATTGTGATACCAATTTAATTGGACACCAGCAGTAGTCCGATCATTGAATTCTTTCTGTTTTTTGCTAGTAATTTTTAGGCTATTAAGTCATTTTGTTTGTTTCTATTCTCAAAGAATGTTTGACATTTTATGACATTCAGGCCATTATGGTTTATCCATCATTTATTTTGCTTTATTCCACTTTTGATTCCCACTAACCCACTTTGTGTGAATCTTTCTTTCAATAAGTGCACGGTGTGAATGACTTATGTCATGTTCTTTTCACCAAATCTGATTGGCTCTAATCAGATTAGAATAAGTTCTGAGCAGATCTAATTTGACTTGAATATAGTTATATTTAAACCTATTTTTGATCTAAACTGATTTAGTCTAATCTGATTTGATTTCAATAAGAATAAGTAATAAGTAAAAAAATTAGGGAAAACATGGGCTTAGGCTATGTTCTCTTGATATGCTTGGTATGTTCTTATAGAAATAAGTTCTGATATGAATGTAGCAATATTAAAAACTATTTCTGATTTGATCGGATTCCAATAAAAATAAGCAATAAGTAAAAAATAACTTGAGTAGAACATGGTCAAAATTGGCAAACCTTGACCGTAAATTAAATAAAAACGATATCAGATATTGATACAAAAATAGTTTTATTAAATTTATTATATAAAATATTTTCAAACTCATATTTTATGTAATTAATATACAATATATATTTTATTTAATTATAAGTCAAAGTTGAAAACAATTGACTGAACAAATACTCCCACATGGATGCAGTATGAATTTTCTGTGTCTAAGACAGGGAGTAATATTTTTTTAATACTCCATATTCACTACGCTTCAATTTTGGTGGTCAAAATATTTATGCTTGGGCCGGGGTGCCCTTTTATATTATGCTCCGTATTATTCGTACTCACCTATTAAGCATAATTGGAACTCCAAATTTCTGATAGATGTGAAATCAAACTATTTTATTCCTGGGATACTTTGAGTTATTTGGACCAATTTTTAGTGCCTAATTAACAAACGCATCCAGCAAAAAGAAAAGGATACCTCATGATCGATGTGCTTAAACTAATGGATAGAGTTTCAATCTTCTATATACTCCGTATATTAACAAAAAGGTTCTCATGACATTGAAACGGAATGACCGAGGCTCTAATTGAGGCCCCTACGGACGTTTGTTCAAATAGTTGAAGATTCCTATCCCATCTAAAGCCTCCGGTAAACCGTCATTCCAGTCCAACCCGAAGTGATCCCTCCACCTCATTCAATTACACTTCCCAACTTTAGTTGACTTTGAAGTTGAGTTTTTTATTCGAGAATCAACTAAAATTGAAGAGTATAAATGTGCAATTGAAGGGGGTGGAGGGGGCAGTTCGGATTGGGCCAGTTTGGGAGAGTTTACCAGGAGATTAGCTGGTGTAGGAATTGTCAATTTTTTAAACAAACCTTCGAAAGGGTCCCAATTGAGGCTCGAGTCAGAATATGACATTGAGGTTCAATGTCACATGAACTCCTCCGATATACTAGTTGTATTTTTCTATGTTTTTTTAAATGTGGAAACCCTAACAAATTGAGTTATTTGGACCAATTTTAGGTCAATAATTAACACACGCATCCAACACGTAAGCTAATAATAACACCCTTCTTTCTATACATACTTGTAATATTTTTTCTTTACTTTCAAATGTGTGAACTCCAACAAAGATAACATAGTGAGTTGTTTGTTTGCTACTATAAATACCAAGCCATACATTAGTCTTAGCTTAATTTGTCAACCCATGATGGATATGAATCTTTGATGCACATATGTACAATATATAGGTAGCCTGCTATATTATTCCAGGAATTCTTTTATACGGAGTATATTGTTAATAGGTCGTCCTAGCTGTCCGTCCACGTACCCATATATGTGTGTAAGAAAATTGAACGATGATCCTAGCTAGCTAGATAATTGTATGATGAATAATACTTCCTTCGTCCCCAATTTGATTACAAATTGGGAAATTGGGATTTACAAGGAGAAATATCTCACTTTTTTAAATCATAACAAATCAGTATATTGATAATATATAAGAATTACAGTACATATTAAAAAACTACGTTAAAAGTTTTACAAAACAAGAGATGACAAAAATATTTTATTTTATCAAATACTTAATGAAATTGGTAAACAAATAAAAATTATCGATCCGAAAAGAGAGAAAAAAAATTGTAATCAAATTGAGAACGGAAGTAATATAATTAATTAATTATAAAGATGAATTACTTTAGAGATGGAGAATAAATTAAGATTCTCGGAGTATTATATTATTAAGATAATAATTGTATAATGCTTTATATATCATGGGTGCATACGAGGCAGGCCACCCAAATTCAATAGTTAGCTAAGGATTCTTCAAATCTCCAACTTGGAGGGACTTGTCTCGTATCCGGCGCGTCCCTCTTTTAAGTAATTTAATTTAATTAATTTCTTAGCTTTCTCTTCTCATTCAATACTAGCATATATTTTTTACTCCATATTTTCTAACATTATTTTTAATTATGTAAAAGTCGTTTTCAAAAAAAATTATGTAAAAATAGAAATGAAAAGTTTTTTTATGAGCCAAGTAATACTCCATATGTCCTAAAATTGACTTTCTATTTGATTTTTCATGGTATGCAATGCAACACTTTAAATATTAATATCTCCATTTTTATATAAAGATATATATATATAATATATTATAAAAATAATATATTTCAAAATTATGTTTTGAAATAAATACATTAATATAATATGTATATAAAAATTTAATACATTTTTTTAATATGCGGTCAATGTGTAAAACATTTGAATGTAAAAGTTAAATTGGAAAGTTAATTTTTAAGACAGATGAATTATTTCGCTTTCTCTTAATTTCCATAAATCACTTTCCCAAAACTCAAATCCCATTACAATGGCAACAATGCCACAACAATGGTGGAAGACTTTCACAAGAACGTGCCTTGAACGGAGCGACAAACGATAACTCTAATTCTTGTATGGCATAATTTAGCAACAACCTTTTTAATTAGGCAAATTTTATGGTGGATTTAAAGTCTATCACGGATCTAATCAATATACGAGCAAAATAAATATTTTTTTTACTATTTAAATAAATATTTGTTTAAAAAAAATAAAAAGATTATGTTGGAAGATTAACAAAAATGATATACATCAAAGGTGCACCAAAGTAGGACTTGTTTAATTAATACAGAGTACTTTAGATTAATTTTCCCTCCATCCGCCCAACAATATGTTAAATATTTTTGTGTAATTGGGAAAACTACTTGACAAATAGTATCATAATAATCATTAAAGAAGTTGGGTTGTGCGGAGTGCGCGATTCGTTGAATTTATTATGATAAAAATTTCATCTTAACAGGGTTCTAAGGAGGCAACGCCCCCTTGGCGGGGTTCGGGGGCAGCGCCCCGAGCCGGGTTCAAGGGGCGGCAGCCGGCAAGCCCCTACGGGTCCAAGGGTCAGAGCCCTGGCTGGGATCGAGATGCTATGTTAAAAGTGCTATATTAAAAATTGCTAAAATAATTCATTTGAATTTTTAATTTTCGATTTTTCTTAAAGGAAACATTTTGGACAAAGTGCTATGTTAAAAATTCATTTGAATTTTTAATTTTCGATTTTTCTTAAAGGAAAAATTTTGGACAAAGTGCTATGTTAAAAATTCATTTGAATTTTTAATTCTCGAATATCCTTAGAGGAAAATTCTCGAAAAGGATAGCACTATTTTCTCAATTTCGCGCAAAGGGATGCACGTTTTTGGATGAGAGGCACGACCGCAACCTTTTCCCTTTCATGGCTCTATAAATCCCGTTAGTTGTTCCTTGGTCGAAAAACATAGTTCGGAAATTCACAACAGATTCATACTTGTTCTCGAAAACTTTGAGTTTTATCCGATTGAATTTTGGATTGAATCCAAAATATTCAATCTAGAAGTGTTATACACGACTCTCAATTTATCCGTGTTATCTTCTTTATCTCCAACACAATGATGGTCACTCATCTAACAATGTATAAAACTGCATCACTCTTAAAATAATTTTCGTTATAAATATGTATAAAAGTTACAAATTACATTGTGTAAAATTACATTAAAAGTTTTACAAAATAACATCTGATGAAAAGATTGTGTTTTACGAAATGACCAATAAAAAACATAAATAAAAGTTTCGAAAACATGCATGCAATATTAACAGAGATATGGGATGAACGAAGATAGTAATAGTTTGACCTTTTGCAAGAAACCATTTTCAATTTGTGGCATATAACTAAATAAAATATTTTTGTATATTAATTAGATAAAATATAAAATATTTTATAAAATTAAATTTAATAAAATTATTTTTGTAATAATATCTAATAGTACTTTTATTTAATTTGAGATCAAAGTTTATCAATTTTAACCGAAAAAATCAACTGTAGACAGGCGCTCATTAACGGAGGAAGTACTTTATTAGGTCAATAAAGAAGTAGGACAACTATTTTGAGACGAATGAAAAATGTAAGTGGGGCATATAATTTGGGATCGATATGAGTATACTAGTATTAAATACTCCCTTCGTT